ATATTTTACACTTAACGGTAGTATGTACGAGCAAATATTTGGACTATCGATGGGATCTCTACTTTCACCTCTTTTGGCAAATGTGTACATGAACAAGTTGGAAAGGGAATTTAAGAAGTCACCACTGCAACCAAAAGCGCTCGCGATATTTGGATGACTATTTTGCACTTTGGTCACATGGTAAGGAAAATTTGAATGGATTCCTCAATTTTATTAACCAACTTGATGAAAGAGGTGGAGAAGGATTAACGACTAGCCTTTCTGGATATTGAAGTCATGCGCTCCAACAGGACTTTCATGAGGTGACCATTCAGAGAATTCCTATGCGGGAATAATCCTTAATTTTCAGTCTCACCATAACTACAGACTGAAGATCAGAATACTGGGGAGTTTGATCATCAAAAGCTTACGACTAACGGACACTAGGTTATGGAGCGAGGAGTTTGACAAACTGACACGGATTTGCCATAGTAATACCCTGGTGATTTCACCAGGGCGGTAGGAGAGATATCACGATTGTTTACCAGACAATTGGTCAAATGATTGACTTCACTTGCCTCCGACAAGGTGCTAAGAATGGCAAGACTCACGGACGATGCCGGCGAAACGTCTGTGAATGTTCTGCGTCCATGGTCCGGCTCTGAAAATTATCATGCATACATTGGACTCCGGACTAGGTACGTTCCTCTAAGTCTCCCTACCAATATGACTAAGTTGCGAAAACAAGATCAAACAACTCATATACACTTTTATTTTGACCTTCTTCTGGCAACTTGGCCGGTGCCCCCGGGAGACCTTGTAGAGCTTATCTAGTTCTGCGTTTTCTGCCATAGTATTCCTGATTATTTTCCGTTGATCCGGTACATTTCAAGAAGTTTCGCTAACAACGTAGTCGGCATCGTCAGTGAGAGCCGCCATCCTTAGCACAGGATTACAATTTATAGAAATTTTAAGTTATATAATTTATTCATCTTCATATAATAAGTTTATTTTTGTTTCTGTTTAATGCCTGGGAAACAATTTCATTAATCCTCTTCGAAGGCGTGATCACGCCATACTAAATTCGCTAAAAAAGACTCATCTCTAGTGGAATAGAATATAAAAGGGTCAGAAGTTGTGATAGGCAAGGAATCAAAATGAGAATATGAAATAGATGGATATGCTAGGACAAAAGGAGGAGTTATTAAACATTTATCATGCGTTCTATGATAGAGGACACGGGACTAGATACTTTTCACAAGGTCTACCTTTCGTTTCAAAGAAGTAGCGAAAACGAAGTCAAACCAGCACGAATCAATTTCTCTTTAACTATGAGATAATTATTTTAGCTATTACATTTATCATGAATGTTCATCATTTAGAAAACAATTCAATATATTCTTCATTTTAGTTTTTTAATCAGTTTAATTTGCCTATTTATTTCTACTCGCAAGGGTGGCGATGTAACTCTGCTGAAGCAAATGGTCCAGAAGGGCATGCTTGGTCGAAAGTCAGGTGCCGGTCTATTTACTTATGATGGTCCCGGAGGCAAAAGTACCAGGTCTGTAAATCCAGAGGCATCAAGCATGCTCGAACAATTTCTTATCCTCCCTAAGGTAGAGAACACTCCAGAGCATGTACAGTTTCGCCTGCTTACCCGGTTTGTCAACGAGGCCGTACTATGTTTGCAAGATGGTATACTCATAAACGGGCCTGTCGAAGGTGATATTGGTGCAGTGTTTGGGCTTGGCTTTCCTCCTTATCTTGGTGGTAAGTCTAATTTAGGATATTGTGAATGTCCGATAATGTTGAACTAGACAGCCGTGTTATGTCCTACACTAATGCCACATTCTCATTTTTTATAAGCTTAAGTATGGTTGACTTTATGATATTTTAATTAGAGTTTGTCAAACATACTTAATATAAGGAAATTGAAAAATACCAATTACTATGGGCGTAATTTCTGCAGGTTTGCTTGCTTATGTCTAATCTAATTCAGGCCAATCTTAAACTTATTTGTTTAGCCTAATATCTCGTCACTGTTGTTTCCTTAAGCCAAGGGATTCTACTTTCTATGAAGAACTATTTATTTTCAAATTTTCTGCCTAGAAAAAGTACCCTTGTTTTCTCATTGAGAATTATCGGGCAGGGAGATATCAGGCTTATTCGTTTTATTTTTTTATATAGATGATTTGTATTAAGTAGATAAGAAGAGAAACTTGGTTTCGATGAATCTCCTGAGATAACATTGTTAGGGGGACCTTCATTTC